ACAGACCCTGTGCGCAATCTGGGGGTCCTCCTGGACTCACGACTCCTGCTCAAAGAGCAGGTGGCAGTCATGGCTAGGAGGGCCTTTGCACGGCTTCGTGTTATGTGCTAGTTGCACCCATTCCTAGATCAGAGGGACCTAATCACTGTCACTCATGCCTTGGTCACCTCCCGTTTGGATTTCTGCAATGCACTCTATGTGTGGTTGCCCTTGAAGAGTATCTGGAAGCTTCAACTGGTGCAAAATGCAGTGGCGTGGGCAGTTATCTGTGCCCCTAGGGTGGTACACGTTACACCTCTGCTTTGCGAGCTGCACTGGTTGCCAGTTTGCTTCTGAATCCAATTCAAGGTGCTGGTTTTGACCTTTAAAGCCCTTCATGGCATGGGGCCGGGTTACCTGAAGGATCGCCTCTCCCCAGTTACATCTGCCCGTCCCATCAGATCTGGCAGAGAAGGCATGCTGCGGATCCTGTCTGCTAGAAAATTACATTTGGCGGGCCCCAGGAGGCAGGCCTTCTCTGCTGTGGCGCCTGCCTTGTGGAATCTTCTCCTCCTGGAAGTGAGATTAGCTCCATTCCTCTTAACATTCCGTAACTCCCTCAAGACCTGGCTATGTGATCAGGCCTGGGGCTCCCAGGGGACCGGGGAGATTTTACCATGGCTCCCTTATTAATTTTATCCCCTCCTGTTTTGTTTTTACAGTTTTTTCTGTATAATTGTTTTTATGTATTTATTTTTTAATTGTTGTACGCCACCCAGAGTGACCTTGTGTGAGATGGGCAGATATATAAATATGATAGATGAATAAATAAATACAGAAACATATCACACACACACAAAACTCGAGGAGAGAATACACTATTAATAATTTTCAGTGCCACATTGTGTTACAAGAGTTCTTCCACATTACTAACATTTCTAGCAACAGCCAAGGGAATTTAACCTAAGAAGGCTCATTTATCATTACAAATTATTACCTGAAGGTGAGACAACCAACCTGGAGGTTGCTTGCCCCAAGGAGGAAGGGGGGGTGCAGCAATTGACAGAGCAACTACTCAACAAGCACAGTGTTCAATCTCTAGCATTTCTAGTTTAAATGGAACAGGAAGAAGGTGATGTGAAAGACCTCATCCTGAGATGCTAAAGATCCCTTTCCTTTCAGAGAAGATAATCAAACACTAGATGACTTGACTATATGGCCTTATAGAAAGGCAAGTTATATGTAACCATACATTGTCCTCTGGATCACTAGCTAGGCATTTCAAGAAAAAGAATCTTGGTGATATTTTGATTTGGTTGGACAAAGATGTTCTTACTTCCTTCAATTTTATCAATACATTTTTAAAATAACAGCTGCCTTACCAAGGAACACCTAGACCACTGGCCCCACTCAGATATGACACAGTCTTCTGGACATGGCAATATGCATTTTCTAGCACCAATTGGCATCTCTTCTTGATCACACAGATAGTCTTCCACAATGTCTGAAGGACCATCCACAGTGTTTTGCATGCATCTGGAAAGGCAAAGCCCATGACATGCAGTAGATATAAAGTTATGTAACTGTATGATTATATATCTAGATCCTTCCTGTATAGAAAAGTCTGTGCTGAATTAGGGAAAAATAAAAATTAAAAAACAATACGCATCTTAGTCTAAAACAGTCTTCTCCAATTAAGTTGTCCAGAATTCTCCAGGCAGCACATTCTGGAAACTTTACCCACATGTTATTTGGAAAACAGCAGACAGAGGAAGGCTGATCTAAAGGTTTAGTAAACAGCTCCTTCCCTGAGAAAGACTCAAGACATAGACACTTAATCAGACATACAACATTCTAAACTTCCACGCTCAGAACTTCTCCCAAATCGCTTGGATAGATGAAGGCACTTTAATTAGGAAAAACTATTAAAATAGTTTAAAAACTATAACCAAACTTGATTAAAGCTAACCCTACTTGACAATTTAAACAAACAAACAAACCAACGTAATTCATAGGCTGCCTGACTCCCAATGACTCTGAGGGTATAGAGTTAAAAATAAAAAATTAACAAAACTTAAAAAGAACAGCCCAAAACACAACATAAAACAACAAAAACTTTCACTCGGCTCCAGAGCCTGGGAGAATAGCCAGGTCTTTAATAGTATCCTGAACATCATTAGAGGGGAGCCATGTGCCACTACAGAGTAGACACATTTCCTGGGTCTCACAAGATGATGGTACTTAATTGATGGGCTGCAGAGTGTACCCACTCTGTCCAATTGCACCTGATGGGTAGAAACCACTGGAGACAGGTGGTTGCCCAAATAACCAGGCCTTATGCCATGAAGGGCTTTGTAGATGATAACTAGCACATTAAATTACACCTGGAAGCTACCTGGTAACTACTGCAACTTGCAATGCACCACTGCATGCTGGACCAGCTGCAGCTTCTGAGTGGCCTTCAAGGGCATCCCCATAAAGAACACATTACAGTAATCCATTTGTGAGGTGAAGGGCCTTCTCATCCAGGAATGGGCGCGTTTGGCACAGTAGGTATACGTGTGCAAAGGTCCTAAAAGCTCTTTGCTTTTGGCCTAATTTTTTCAGACAAAGCAATTTTCTGTATGTTTAAATCCCACTGATCATGGGATTTAATTTTCTAACACTTTGATATAAAAATCTGGAAGAAATTAGGGTTTGTGGAGTTGCCACAATATATGATTCAGCAGCTTATCTTTCGTCTGAGTTAGTGACATTGTAGTTACAAATTTATAGTCCTTCAATAATAATTCCCAGAATATATTGCATAAAAACTATTAAGATATAAATAAAACAAGATTTAAAACAAACACCAGAAGCCTGCAAGATTTTAAAAGCCCTATAGTGACAACTAGCAGAATTGTTACTCAGTTTGCTATATAGTATTGGGCACATAATATCTGGAAGTGCCCAAGGAAATAAAAGGTTGATTCAATGGCAACTCAGGCGGTCAGTCAACACAGAAACAGGAATATGGAAAGGCTCAAAGCTATTTGTGTTTTGCATATTAGAAAGAGGATGTCATGAACCATTTATTGCATACACAAATCTGAGTTAATCAGAGGTTTTCTGTGCAGTGGCATAGCTTTAGAGAAAACCCTGCATGATGAGCTTGCTTGTAATGGGAAATACATAAAAGTTCTCAGGCCAATGTAGATAGATAGGTTTAACAATTCAGTCTCTTTAAATGAGTACTCTAAAGATCCTTGCTTTAATAGAAGGAAGAAAGCTGCCCTCCAAAGTGACAAATCCAATAAAAGTTTAACTTACCTCACTTTTCTGGTTTGCACACCCACTCCACAATTCTCCTTTAAGTCCACATTAGTCACTTTGCAGACACTCCAAGGTTCAGTGACTCCTATGTATTGACCACAGTCACTATGGCAAGGGACCACTTCATAGACCTGGAATGCAGACACTGAAAATCAGCTTGCTTCCTATACAGAAGGATAACTGACAGGTGGCACTAGAAACTATCATTTATTCAAAGTTAGAAGACATGCATATCAACATTAGCAAGCAAGCATGTGTGTGCATAGCAATCCAATAACACTTATATTTGTTTATTAGGTTACAGATGGGAGGAATTTCAAGGCATTCACCCTTCCTGTTCCTGAATTTGCTTTACTTCTCTTTTATGAAACTAATTTCTTACCTTTTCCCAGAATCCTTCTCAACCTGGTGTTCCCCAAATACATTGACCCTCATCTTTTAGATGCACCAAGTGGGCCATCAAGTTGGACAACACAGCAGCAAGATTTCAATATCCTTCATTTCTTCATCTCGTACAGTTAAAGGAATACAGAATCTACTGGAATCACAGAATTTCTAGCAAGACGATGCAGAAGAAATTGTGCTCCTGGCTCCTATTCTTTCTTCTTTGATATTACTAGTTCACAGTCTCATTTGTTTCACATTTATTTAGTATTTATTTATTATTTCACTTTTAGTTCCTCAGCTCTACTTTGATTTCAGCAGTGTTTGCATTTGGCTTCAGTCACTTGCAAACCCACAAGATTTTTACTTGAACGAATGCTTATTGTTCTTAGGAGACATCTTGGTATTTAACTGAGCTTGATGACTGGGTCTGTGTTTGCTGAATTTTCTCCAGAGGTTCTGCCTCAGCCCATCAAACACTGTGCCAAGTGTGTTCGGTAAATCCACCATGTTTGAGCAGTGCTGGCATCCTTACTGGAACACGCTTGGAACATGAATATTCAACATTGTACTAAAAATCATGTTGTTCTGGCTGGGTTTACACACTGCTTGTTGAACCATGATTTATTGAATAATCACTGGCTCACCCATAAGCCATGATTTCTAAACCATAACACATTTACAACCAACAAAATAAGTTTATGGCTTTGCACAATATGTGAATCCAGCTTTTGTATTACTTAATAATATTAAGAAACCATCTACTTTGACTTAAAACTTGGAGTAGCAGGAATTATGGGGATAGATACTATGTCTTGGATGGGTTAAAACCCACTGAGATCAACTTTTCATCATCACTATCCTCTTGGATACCATTATGTCCTGCCATTAGATCATGGGATATGGATTAAAAGTAACCCTTGGATTGATCCAGAACCACAACTACATTACTGTTTCCATATGGTCTCGGATTTAACAAACTCTGATTTGTACAAAGGTTACACTTAAATTAGCTGTTGGTTAATGGAAATGAAAATGTGTTCCACTCCTTCAAGTTCCTGATTGGATGCAGCACTCCAAATTGGGTGGTAGTTTTGTTTTATTTTGCTTTCTTCCTCATCCCTTAGAGGAAATCCAATATACATTCCACAACTAATGTTTTTAAATAGATAGGTACAAATGGGATAAGTGGAATAGGAGGTGGAGGTCAGCTGCAAAGAGGTGGAAAGCAGCTGGTCAATACAGAAGACCTAGTATGCTGCAGACCTACCATCCTTCCTGGCCCCAGTCTTCCACCCAAAACAGATAAGAAATTGTGGTTGTACTAAACAATGTTATTAATAACTCCTTCTGGTCTGTTCTCAGTGAAGACTGGGTATGACTGAAGGGTCCTGATGAAGGCCATCTTGTTAAAGAGACAATTTTGAGGTCTGAGAGATTTATATTCCAAAATTAGTCATACGACTAGGAAGGACAGAGAGCCATTAGATCTTTCCCCAACACCGCCCAGGGTTCCCCATGGATCACTCCCATCTGTCAAACTTTGTAGTAACCAGTAATAATGATGCAATCAATTTTTCATCGCAACTATACGACTGCTTCTCACCCTCTCCCATTTCTGCCTAGTAAAACGGTGACCGCTGTAAACATAAAAACATTTTAAATTAGCATTCATCTAGACTCAAAGGGAAGCTACAGCAAAAGGCAAACACTGCACACAGTTATAAAATCTGATCCAGAAGCATGCGTGATTGTTTTGCATCTGTTTCACAGCCTCTTACCTGAGCCTGGGACAGGTGTTGACGATGAGCACAAGGGAATGAGCAAGGTAAATAAAAACAACAGTTAGGAAGCAAAACATATTCATAAAAAGGCATGTGCTTTAGAGTGGTAAACTGATTCTCCTAACAGGCAATGTTTCTTGTAAAGACAGGATAATTTTGTTGTTTCTGCTTAGGGCATTTTAGATTGAACTACACTATCTTTTCAAAGTATCGGGTGAAAATGAACTGCATTTCTGACTATGCCCTCTGTTAGCTTGTAACATAACTAGCTTTAAGACAAGAAGTGCTATCAAAGGCTAACTACGTTTCTAACTATTTTTTAATAGGAGGCAGGAATGTTTCTGGAAATGTTTTCTCTTTTACTTGCAATGCACCATGAACAAAGTTACAATAAAAGCAGAACACAATAAGTTTCAATTCCAAATGCCTATTTGAAGCACATTCATTCCATATCCAGTCTTGTAAAAGTCATCAGATTGTTTCATATTCCAAAGAAACATCCCAAACCTCTTTCTCCAACCTATTACCCTGCATTTATGTTGGATTCCACCTCACTCAGCTGTGGGATAATGGGAACTGCTATCCAGCATCCTGGAATACATCAGATTTGGTGTGTGTGTGTGTGTATGTCAAAAAAGTCAAGACAGAAGCCACAACCATGTGCTCAAAGCCTCACCCCTTTTTACATATGCAATAGGGGTGGGGCTTCAATCTCCCATCTTCACTTTGTCACCCTCCCCCCACGGACATCCCTGAAGGCTGTTCTGAATCTATACCAGTGCTTCTCAACCTTAGCAACTTTAAGATGCGTGGACTTCAACTCCCAGAATTCCCC